CGAGGAGGTGGTGGACGCCCTAGAAAACGACTGGGACCCCGAGGAACACGATCGCCTGGTACAGAAGCTGTTTGGCAGCGAGTACTACGGAGCACCGACAGGCGATGATGATCTTGACGAGCCGCCTGTATTCTCCGATGATGATAATGACGATGAAGTCGATCTGGATTCAGATCGCTACCACCCTCGGCGGCGACATCGTGGCGAAACCGTACAAGACGTGGAACCGGGCGACGAGGAGGCGGGGTCGGGGGAGATTGCGACATCTCCAAAAAGCCATTCCCACGCATCCGCTATTGAGCGAGCGGCGAAGGATCTGGAGGGCACTCTTGCACCGCGATCACGTGGTAGGAAACGTGCACACGTGGGTTCTCGACTAAAGGCTGCCCTTGATCGCCGAAAACCCCTGTTTGACCCTACTAAGGATCCGGACTTTGAGGTATGCTAAACCCCTTTTATGTAAATTCTAGTCTCATTTCTTGTCGCCGGGGTGCCGCTGTCTAAGTAGGCCCCTAACTTCAAGCTTCGTCCCCATCCTACTCCATAACGTAGCTAGATCGGTGCATGTGTTATCGCCATGGCCTTAAACTTGTTACTCTCACAGAAATATTTTGACGAGTTCTACCAACTGGACTGCGAAGACATTCTTACCGGCTCGAGACCCGGTGAGGACATTCACTGTCGTTTTAAGTACCGTGAGGTGAAACCCAATGACTTCGGTCTGACCACAGAGGAGATCCTCGCGGCCGACGACAAGGAACTGAACCGCTATGCCTCCGTGAAGCTGATGAGTGTCTACAGGTACGCTACCCCTCGCGTCCATCCTATCCCAAGATTTCACCCAATCCAAAACTAAAATATTTTTTTCTCGCATGTTGACTAGTGGAATAGGGAGTTTACACAGTGAGGGCCATTGCTGTGTTTTGCCCCTAGAGGAAATAATCTTATCCTAACCGAGAAGAAGACGACTAGATCCCTGGGACTCGCATTTTCGCTTGTATTGGCATCTTATCCTAACCACCCAGGCGTCCAAGGCTCGGGTTAGACAGCGCCTCGGCGGCGACCTTCGCATGGGATGATCCAGTGGACCACCGTTATGTTGTAGATCCGCAGAATAGATTCTGAAAGTTGGCGACTTCGTCCGGCCGCTAAGCGTGCAATGGAATCGATAATATACTCGCATGCGGGCAGCTGTGCCCTCATTGGTTGGCGCCCTTAATTGCGCCCTTAATTGCGAGCTCAACTGGAGCGAGAAAATTAGAGCTCGAATCGCACTATTAGGGTATTCTTATGGCGTACTAGTTACGTGTTCTAACGTTCTAACGATCAATGCTGAATGGAGCTGCATTTAATAAGGGATGAAAGTAGCTTTTATCAAATCTGTTATGATATAAGCGAAAGTCATTCGTGCAGTGTGCGGCGTCTTTGTAATTTATCCGCCTTGCAAGCGGTTCCAGACACGCTGAACATACAGCAATCTGCAAAACGCAGGCATCAGACAGTCTCAGTAGCCATTGGAACACGCCATCCCTCAGTTAGCACAGCATGCACCGCTTGGGCAATGGAACCTGCTGTCACAAACAACAGCTGACACTGCAGGCTCTATCTCTCACACATTTACGACTTAACAGCGTCAGTGCGCTCTAGTTTCGCCAGTGGCCACCGCCGTCCGCTTGCTTGCAACAACAGTGGGCTTTTTTTCACAATACGGTTCCCCTTCTGGCCTCCTTCGTCTTATTCAGAACTTGGCTTCGTGGTTCTGGCGTGCTCACTTCCCTACTCCTTAGTCGCTCCAATGTTTAAGCGGTTTACAGGTGACTCATTGAGTATAATGAATGACCAGTAACTCATATTACCACTTTATGATCATCGACTGCGTGGGGGGTTGTTTATTTCGCAGGTAGGCCCTCGCTGTCGATCAACCCTCGTCTTATCCAAACCCACTGAGCTCGGATTAAACGAATCCTGCTTCAAACGGGTTCGCTCCCCCCTACTCAAGTCACGCCACGTCAAGTTTATTAAAGGAAATATAGGCAAACGCCTTTGAAATCCCTATTGGTACATAGTATTTAAGAAATGCATCGGCACAGCCGAACATTTCAAGGAAGTCGTTTACACAATTGTAGGCGACTACTCGCTTGTTTCAAGTAATACACTCACAAGTGGTGATGTCAGTTTACACGAGCCAGCAGTGTAACTGAGCAAGAGGAGCAGACAGTGAAAAAAAAATAGTGGGGGTAAATTGGGTAGAGGGATACGACTTCCGCCAGACAAACGGCCGCCCATCGCAATCACTTCAATCTATATACATGGGACATGTAAAAGTTCCGGGAAAATCAGTTCTGTGTGCATCAATCCCTTTATCATTGGCTTTTACTCTAGATGATCTACTGTGGATCATGTTCCTGAATAACTGCGCAGTTAGGCTGTTTACTGCGGTCCTACTGGCCGTTCAACTTCCGGTTATATCAGGCTACACTGCACATCGTCCCTGATTGCTGACTCACTAATAGCTAACTACGTATCCCCTCTCTCTCTCTTTTTCGGCATCTGTTTTCTCCTCTTCTGCTTATTGTACTAATCTGTCCGCCCTTTGTCCTCTCCCCCCCTAGGACGGAAGAAGAGGAGGAGAGGGATTTGCGCAAATATCATCGACAGAAGATGCAACTAAAGAAGCGCCAACTCCTTCCATCTCTCCTTGGTGGACAGCAGCTTGGCGCCGAGGTGGAAGAGGGACAGGGATCGTCAGCTGCAAATCAGTCGGCCACTGAGCTTCCTGCGGTTGCAGATCCATCACTACTAGCCGATAGGTCAACGGAGCAGCAGCAGCAGCACCAGCTCTCAAAGTGGGTCCCTATATATGCTTGTATAATTACACCTGTACCGTCCTCTCTCTCCATTGTGGTGACTTGTGAGATGGTAAACCAGAGCAACCGCGGGGCAGAGCCAGGTCGTAACGATGTGAGCTCTTACGCTGATAGACATTGTCTGCCAGGTAAAGGAAGATGGGAATAGCCATCTTTGGCCTATTGGTCGTCATCAGCCGGTCATACCTAACCCCCAGATGATGCGCTAGCCGTCACTCGAACTCGCAACCCGTTGATTAGAAGTTATATGCCGTCGACATTGAGCTACGGGGGCTTTTTGCTCTGTTGGGTGCGATCCATTATCTTAAAAGGGGTAGCTGGGCGCTCAACGATCGCGTTACGGGACGCGCTTGTTCCCTTGTGCCTCGGGGCTCAACCGCGAGCGCCGCTAGCAGTCGCACAGTGGCTGATACCATATATATGTATATAATTTATATTGAATGAAGATACGAGGTCCAGATAAATTACCCCGTTCCCCATCCCCCAAAGAAGATGAAGAAAATAAGGCGCCTTCATGGAC